GAGGCCTCTCTTCATGGCTTGCAGATGGTGCTGTGTCCTCACATAGCGGAGAGAGGGCTCTGGTCTCTTCCTCTCTCAATAAGGACACTGCTCCCATCATGGGGGCTCCATCCTCATGAATCCATCTAATCCTAATCACCTCCCAAAGCCCCTGCCTCCAAATATCATCACATTGAGGGTTGGGGTTTTAATATGCAAATTTGGAGGCTAGGTGGATACAGCACAGTCCAGAATCGTCACTTTATTTCTGCTTAACTTTTCTCTTTTAGCATCATTTGAAATCCAGAAATCTGAAATAGTTTCATAGCCCCTTGCATGTTGAGAATTTCCATGTCCCCTCAGGACCCGTGTGTAAGCGGGGTTCTCCTGGGGATTGAACAGCGATGACTCAAGTCCGCCAGTCTCAGCCAGGATATCAAGAATGTCCCCCTTGCCTCCTGTCTGCTTTGTTAACGTACATTGACCGTGTCCTGAAAGGGCTTCTTGGGGCACACAGGGTGCTGAGCTCCCTTCTCACTTTAGAATGCCTCGCTGGTGAGTGCACCGATTGCTTAGAGGTTTGTTTAAATCGAGGGTGGGTAGAGTCTCCTTGACGAAGATTTCCCGTTAGTGTGTCAAATGTAGTAGACACACAGGTTGGTTCTTTCATATTGACCCCCTCACAGTTGTTACACGTTTGCTGTGACCTCACAGGCACCCAGGCTGCTTGTTGGGGAGGGCTTCTATCAGGACAGGGATATGTCCCCACAGGAGCAAAGGCCTGTGCTCTGGAAGCTCGTGTACAGCGCTGGGCCTCAGCAAACATTTCTTAGGAAGAGAGATAGTTTTTGATGGTTACATTCTGAAATCATTTCTCAGAAGTCTGAGATGGGAAGAGAGGAGCATCTTGGTTTGCAGACAGGATGTTGCGTTGAGATCTGAAGAGGTGACATTTACTAAAAGGTGATGGGAGGGGGTGTGTCCCAAGCCAAGGACCCATGCAAAAGCCTTGAGGTCAACAGGACTTGGTGTCTTGGGAGAGCTGAGAAAAGGTAAGGGCCTATGGGCTGGGGTGGCGGAGGTTTGAGAGGTCAGCAGGTGCAAAGCCTGTGTGGCTCAATACTGTGGCCATCAGCCACACATGAGTCTTTACGTTTAAATCAATTAAAATTAAATAAAATTAATTGGACCTACTAGCTACATTTCAGATACTCAGTAGCCACATATGGCTGGAGACCACAGTGATGGACAGCACAGATCTAGAACATTCCATTCTCATAGAAAGTTCCATCAGGTAGCTCTGGGTAGAGCATGCACAGCTCTTTAGATGACAGGAGAAAGTTCTATTTCATTGTAAGTACCACCCCGCCCCCACTCTGGAAGCGTTGCAGCCTAGGATATGGTGTAACCTGATTTACACTCTTTAAAGATCATCATGGCAGATCTGGAGGATGATGGTTGCTGGGGAGAAGCGGAGGGGCAGTTAAGAGGGAGGTATGGCCGGGTAAAGACAAATGGACACACCACAGTAACGATCTAGAATACAACCTGCAATTATTCTTAGACTCTCATGCTCCCTTGGGAAAGTGTCCTGCCCTCAGGTAGAGTGTGTTGGGCCTCCCTGTGGGCCCCGGGCTGGGTGTTGCAGAGCGGAGAGGAGCTGGGGGTGGGGTGGAGCACTGCCCCAGCTACTGCTGTTCCTTACCCAGAGTGCTCACAGATGCCCTTTGGGAGGCAGAGTTGGCTGCAGGCCTCGGGGCCCACTTGGGTTGGAAGAGCATTTGCTGACTGAGGGGCAGAAATGACCGTGGGCCGAACAACATACAGACGTGTATTCCCATCTAGCTACATGATTCAAACATTGATAAGTCAGATTTAGTGCCTCAGGTGGGACTCCTGGATCTCTTTTTTGATATCTGAGCAATGCTCTCTAATGTTCTCTGCTTAGTTGGGATTTGATTGCCTCCTGTCTGCTTTGTTAACCTACATGTGGCCGTGTTAAACCATGCACACTTCAGTACCTGTGCAGTGCTGAGGAGGGTTTCAGGTAGTTTAGAAGCCAGCCTTGGACTTCTTCAAGGCACAGAAACACTAGTTGCAGAGGAAAACCAGTCAAGCGGCTGTGTGTGTACAAATGCTTGTAGAAGGGCGGTACACCAGGTCTTCGAATAATGTTGTTTGAGTCAGTGTCGTTTTGTTATGACTTTGATGCGATGCCGTAGGAACTTAACTCTTGTTTATATCAATTAGCTTATGATAAAGTTGGTTTTGTTATACACCCTTTCACTAAATTTCACAGAACCTATCAAGGACATTAGGTGAAAACTTACTGTAGAGAAGGAAGCAGAAAGCCACAGCAGCCTGGCCTTTTCCCCATGGTGGCAGCATGGGGCAGTGTGGCA